GCTATTTCAGTAATTCTTGCAACCAAACTCAAAATTCGTTCATAAAGGCCGTCATTGAGGTTCGGTTCCACGAGATTAGTCAAAAGATAGCTTCTGAGTTATATTGAAACCTAAATCTTTATATTTGAATGCAAATCATAAATTTAGTTTTGGTTGATGATTTGAAGAGTTAAAAAACTTTATCTGATTTACATAGGAATTCTCGCATCGACATGATATTTTAAAACATTTGAGTTTGTTGGCGAATACTTTGGTGATTTACCCTTCCTCCATAATTTTTATAGCACTTGGAAAGAAACAGTCATTTCAGAATTCATAAAGGACAAAAAACTTTTTCCACTCACTTGTTACCTTAAAATAGGCTAAGGAACACATCTCAAAAAATCGCACTCAAAAATGTGCAAAAAGGTCAAAAATGGATTTATTATTCCCAGCTCACCTTGCTGCTGGGAGTAAAATGGGCTTTCAATCCATTTAAAATGGAGGTAAATCCCATTTTGCCCCATTTCAAATGGACTTTTGACGTCGTCTTTCGCAAGCGAGAGCTCAGGTAGGGTCGAATCATTTTCATTTCACCGCTTTGTCTCGTGGTTGCGATGGGATGAGAATTTTTGGATAACGCGAGCGAAAGCGGATTCCGACCATTCTTCACCGCGAACGAAAAAAATGGGGTTTGAAAGTCCATTTTCCTCCATTATGGACTTTCGTGGATATCATTCCTGGTAAGAACAAGTGATGTTTCGAAGTAATATTAGATCGTTTCATAAGTTCGTCGGCTTTTTATTTTTGTCGCCGTTTTTCGATGAAGCGGTTGGTTTACGGCAAAGTACCTATACTACTGAAAAGAGAAAACCTTGCTCTAAAAAAACTGCTGTTCGTTTTTGGAGCAAACTTGAATCTCCTTCTTTTACGACTTATCAAAGCAAAATTTTTTTGGGAGGCAAAAATTGGCGATTTCGGCAACTGCACTTTCCGCATTTGGTTCGCGTATTCCGCAAGATGTTTCTGTCATAGGTAGGCGGGATGGATAGTAGCAAGCAAGACTGAAACAGTGACAAATTTGCAGCATGCCAATATGCATAGAACCGTTTGAACAAGGTCCCAATGGTTGTTGTCTTTGACTGCTGCCGCTTGAGTTTGGCGCGTTGTTCAGCGACACAATGTGTCGGTCCTCCTATCGGAACTTGAGGAATGGATGCGTTCTTCTAAGTGGTGTAGATGTATGAGTACAAGCTCTGGCCAACATTTTACGCTTTCTAAAAAAAATTTTGACGTGGGAACTTCTTCAAATTGTGGCAAACTCAAAACATCTACATACATGGTAAACGTGCGCTTAGTCTTTCTTTATAGCGTCTCTTTTATATGCACCATAGTACCACAAACAGTTGTTTCTCATCACTCATAACAACTTCAGACGAAAAATTCCCACTTGTGGCTCCGTATACGGATAGAAAGTTGCAGGTGCCGCAATCGCCAATTTTTGCCTCTCAAAAAATTCTGTTTGATAAGTCGTAAAAGAAGGGGATTCAAGTTTGCTCCAAAAACGAACGACAGTTCTTGTAGAGCAAGATTTTTTCTTTTCAATGGTATAGGTGCTTTGCCGTAAACCAACCGCTTCATCGAAAAACGGCGACAAAAATAAAAAGTAAATAAATAATAATAATAAACGAACTTATGAAACGACCTAATAGATGAACGATGTGATGATTCACAAGTCGAAAGTTGGGATTTATAGAAAAAATCGATATTTCAAGAATTCATGTGTTTTTCCCAGCAGCATATTTAGCACTGTTAGGTTAGATAATCAGTATAACTTTGGAATGCTTTCTTTGACTTCGAAGTAGAAAAATGACTTTAAAGAAAAGACGTTCGGCCGCCAGGGATATCAAGAGAACATATAAAAAGCTGGAAAGTGCGATTTGTACGGCTTCTTGTTCTGTTCAATATGTAAGTAGGAGGATGATGGGAATAACGGATAGGCAGACGGCAGGAAATCTACATATCTGGAGCTTTGGGATATCCAAGCTTTCTTATAAGCTGCGATCCCTCCCCAGCAAGGATGTTTGTGCATGCGGCCCTTAGAGTGAAGGTTACAGGAGTAACGGGTCTGTAAAAAAAAGTGTGCGCATAGTCCTCCGATTACGGTCTCCTACACAGCTCACATCAATATCGACCTACTCTGGTAGAATTGGAACTCACTTTTTCCTCAAATGATAACAAGTTCTGACCACTCTATATTTTCAAGCTTTTGCAGAATGGAAGGTACCAAACACCCATGAAGGTGCAAAGCTCGCGAAAATTGCAACTGCGCGCTTTCCAATTCTCACTGGCTTTTTGGACGCGGAGAGTTCAGGACTGCTTGGAATATATAGAGGTTGCTAAAAAACGCTAGGTGTCCGTTTTTACCGTGGAGATGTCTGAGGGAGCTGGATGAGAGACTCCTGCCAAAAGCAGCATTAGGTGCAAGAAACCGTGTGGGTGGTCCACCCCACCAAATTCGACGGGGTATGATGATTGGCACAAGCAGTTAACCGCTCCTTGGTTGGGAATCTTCGTTTTTAGGGGCCTCAACACTATGCAAGGGCAAAAACGCCATGAAAAGCGCTTCCAGACAATGTGAGAGATGACAAGCACAGAGTCTCTGCGCATCCAGAAGGCAAGGAGTGCTGAAATGCTCGCTTACAGTCGTAAATTTCCCGAGTCGTCGCCTTAAAGTGTCGCAACTTGCCTGGCCAGATTATGGTACATTATATCTAAACCAGTTTCTTTTTCTATCTAAAGGTTGGTGCTAACAAGGAGAGGATACTTAGTCGAAAGCACCAATCCAGATGAGGCATAGATCATCGTGACGCGCTCGGAGCGCGATTTCAAATCTGGCAGAATCAGCTGCGGAGCGCCTTTTGGCAACGAGTTATGGTTATTTTTGTGGAGAAAATTTGAAGTCGAGGGAAAAACAAAATTATGCGCAGAAATCCCCATTTGGGCTCGAACGGGGGAGTGATGTCTGTCAGATTACTCTGCGCAAAGAAAAATGCCTGTCTGCTATACCCACACTTGAAACGAGTCTATCTGCGAAATATACATGTTGTAACAATTAATTTTATTCTCTTTACACATTCAATTTTTTGGGGCTTGAAACGGTCATAGCTCCTCACCTAGAGGCGCTCCGCAGATACGGAGGACAGATTTGAAATCAGCGCTCCGAGCAGGCCACGATGATATATGTCTCATCTGGATTGGCGCTTTCGACTAAGTATCCTCTCCTTGTAAGAAGGATGGTTAGTTGAATTAGCCTTTTGAAATGATTTGTAAACCATCCTGTGGAACTCAAAAGATGATCCCAGTCTGTCTTCCTTCATCTACAAAACCTCCGTACGGGAAATCATTAGCGTTTCTTGGAGGTAAAAGTTGAATGAGGTAGCATAAAATTAGTTAACGAACTTTTCACAACACTCAAAAAGCGGAGACTCAATAATTTTTCCAAAAGTGAATGCATGATTATTGACACTGCTCTATCTGAACAGCAGAAAAAATGTTACAACTATTTTTTTTATCTTGCTTGCGCATGTAATTTATTCCGATAAACGCACAGAACTCGTCCAGAAACGCTTCGCAGACACGGAAAACAGATTTGAAATTAGCGGTTTATGTCCTCCGTGACATGAGCTCTTTTCAAAGACCACTTCGACTAACCATCTTTTCTTAAAGAGCTAGATCTGGCGCTTGCTGTGTAAAACCACTCAATCAAGGCTAGTGCAATGCTGATCATCGCTTTTGCAAAGATGCCTTCAAAATCTGTACATCACACCAATATGGTATGTTGAGATGAAATGGTCTTCCTAAGGTCTATTTACATACTTTGCTTCTCTTTTCATTGATCGCTTCATGTAGCCTTTACCTTCCAAATGTAGCTTTGAAACCGCGTTCTCATTTGTCTTCCTGTACAAAAATTTCGGTATACAAGTTTGCAACCAATCAATGACTTGCAACGGCTTCAGTACCTCAGTAATCTCGTTTATTAGTCAAAAATACCCATAACATTATCATAAAGTTTAGTTACAATGCCGTACAAGTGTAGTTGCCAAGTTTTCGCGGGTACATGTATTCTGGAAGAATTTAAAGTCAAAACTAAGCGCAAAATCGAAAAACCAAAAAATCAAGAGAAGTTGAAAAGATTAAAAAGACTAAACTCAGCTGTAATGTTATGCATATGGTAGCAAGCAAAAAAAAACAATAGGAGAGAGATTTTTGCACACTCGCACAAACTTAGGTCCGAAAGGGTTGATGTGGCAAATTTTTTTATTCACCGTGTTTTCGCTGGCACTTTTTTGGAGATGACCCTGAACAAATCCCATACGACCTCCTGCAAACACGAGTACTGACTTTGATTGAGTTTAACCGTAACACATCACCATGCTTCACAATCTATTGCTACCCTCTTCGAAAAAATTAATTTTCAGTGCAAACCGCTTCTGTACGCCCTCCAAAGATATGACCGCTGCATCGCAATACGGCCAAACAAAAAGATTTCGTTGTAGCGAAATGAAGAGTTCAGTGAAAGAAACAGGGACACAGAGTTATCAAAACTCATACCGAAAAATAAAAAGCGTACAACTTTTGAACAGGGTAGTCGCAATTCTGCTCAAGGCTGCAATAATGTTACAGCGGAATCCCGTCTCAACTCAGCCGAACCACCATTTACCTTTTGATTCAACGAGATTGGCGGCTGAGAGGCGACCGCTCGCATTTGCGACACAGTCTGCGTCTCGCTCGCGAACGTGCTTTACAATCATTGTCTATTCTTAATTAGGTCACGAAGCCGCTGAGTGCGCCCACAATGCATCTCTATATGCAAGTGAGACAGCACCGAGTCTAAATTTCCGTCAAATCCGCCTTTACAAACTCAAACATTCGAACGAATCTGGCTGATTGTAAGGATTTTAACCTAGAGTGGTTGATCTATTCGTACATAAAGCTTCGAGGAAATCAGTGATTTGCAGTACACCTTTCGGGATGATTGCAGCGATGCATCGGATTACTACGATCCCATTGTGAGATGTCCAGAATGCCGTCAAGATACGAGAGTACCTGCAGCAGGTCTACCTGTCAATTATCGCCTTCGAGGTAAGTTTTTCTATCTGAAAGTAACATATGTCTTCAAAATTTTTGAAGTTTTCCGAAAATAAAACAGAAATTCTTGCCCAACCAAAGGAAGAAGGAGTATAACCGAGTCTTTTGAGCTGCCAAGACAAAATGTAAAGGTGTCGAAAATCAAGACATAATGATCCGCTTAGTCAGTTTTGCTTAATTGTAATCTACATTCTCAAATTATTACATCCGATTCGTTGCGAAATTGAGGCCCTTTATGTAGTTTTCTTTTTGCTTAGAGAACATTTCAAATTACGATTCGATGCGAGGTAAGCTATAAAACAAAATCGTTAAGGAGTTGTTCTTTCAATTTTTCAAAGCTATGTGATAATAAACAAACAAACGATATATATATATATATATTCGTGGACAACTTTTTCGAGTACGATTGGCTCAGACCTCACGAATGAGAGGTTGAGGCAAGAAAAATTAAGCGCTAATAACGTCTGTTAAAAAAATCGTACGAGCGGAGATATTATTCACAATTCTGCGGCAAACGTGAAAAGAGCGATGACAAAAAATTTTGCAACTATTCTCGTGATACCCATCCACTGAAATCAGATGTATTTTTCTAGACGCAAGTATCACACATCTTTTCTCACTTCACCATGACAGTTCTTTCACGTTCCAAAGATTCGTAGACAAGAGTGCTAGATTGTTAGTCAACAAAGGTGCTGTCGAGCTTTGACTTTTGCATAAAGTATTGAAAATAAGTTTCTAATGAGATGTGATGTACGTCATTCTATAGAAATGTAGGTCAACTCCCCAAGACTTTTGGAATATAGTACGTAAAGTAGCAGCTCGCATGTCTAGATATGGTGGCTCTAATGTCGGATGCGACTATCGCAGCTGGTAAAGTCAGAAGGGAAACCGACAGCAGGGGTGGAAGCTTACCGAATTGCTTAGCCTGCAACGATGTTTTAGCGAAAGGAGTGTATATGTCGTGCTGCGACTGTGTTTTAAAAGACGAAAAGGCGGTTAGCTCATCTTGAATTGAACGTTTTCTGATCAAATTTACTTCGAATTACAAATCTTATAGTTTTGGTTGTACCGTAAGCAAAAACAGTGTGAATTTCAGCGCCAGATATGTTCAGTCTGCTGCCTCAGGCATCACAATGGGCACCATATTGTAGAAAAACACATTTTGACGGTTTCCGATATAGTTGTAAGTTGTGGCGGTCATTTACACGCTCACTTCAACAATCTTGTCCGTTACTAGGCTGGTAGAAAATCTCTTCGCACTGCACACTGTCAAGGATTAATAGCCATTGATCGAACCTTGGCTCAATTTGATATAAGTGCTGCTTCTGTCAAAGAGAAGATTGAAGAGGTATGCAAGACGTTTGTTGGGCTTGCTTTATGTTTGCCGTTCCGAAGTTCCACAGTTCTAGAATGCCCACGCATTAGTTCATCAAATCGAAGTCATTGATGAAGAAATTCTTCGTGTCCCCTCTTACGAAGAATTTCAAAATAAGATCAAACAGGCTCAAGATATTTCTACAAAACTAGAACAAGTAAGGAATCAATGTTATACAGGAATTATAACTTGATTTTTTTGCCTCAGATGTCGACAGACGTGAAAATCTTATTCGATGGGCTTTGTCAGGATGCCGATACAAAGATCAAAAATGATACGACAAAAGCGCCTCCCACTACTGAAACCAATTTTAACCGATTTAAGGATGTATGCAGCGAAATTTGCATGAGAAGTGGCAGCTTTTGTGATGCACTTCTCAATAATTTGTCGCAGTTTACTACTAGCATACTTGCCCTCGTGGTTAATTGTTTTAATCTTGACAAAGGAATACTACAAAGACACTAATGACCTCTTTGTTTTGAAAGTTGTATTTTGTATTGTTTATATCCGGCTACTACAGTGCTGGCCATAGCTATAAAGCCACCCTAAAAATCACCGTAATTTACTCTCTCTTGCTCATAATTGTCTGCAAAACCACTATTTTGTGCGCAAACTGACGTCACACCATTGACCAGGACGGCTCCCAATTTCATGGATTTTGGAGGGAGAAAAATTGAAAAATTTGAAAAACGGGTTCCGAAGGCTGGTCACAGCTATAAAGCCACCTCTCATTTTCAATCAGTATTGCGTTTTTTGAACCTCAAATTTTTTGTACATATACAACATCAAAATATGAAACATTTGTTACACTTGGAAGGAGTCGCCTTTCGAAAAGAAGATTCGTACTGCATTTTCTGCTCTTGCATAATAAGTCACGTTATTTGCAAAAAACTGCTTTTTCACTGAGTTTTGAAGCACTTGTTTGACTCGGATGGAGGTCCTAGGATTCGCTGTCCTTTGCAATAAACGAGGTGAAAAGTGCTGAACTCAACATTGCGTAGTCGCTAATCTTGGTAAACGAGCCCCAACCTCACCTCCAGGTAGACGAGTTTTTGAACAGCAGAAATTGAGTTCTAATGCCCGAAAAGCTCTGTCGCGTGCTCAGCACGTCGCTTCTACAACGATAGACACGTGCGCATAGTTTGTACGTCATCTCAACTCCAAGAATTCTGGTTCCGCTTTGGACACTTTTTTTCCTAAAATGAGTGGTGCACTCCGTCTGATCATGACCCACTCTAACCACCTCGATCGAGCGGAAGACCGCTCAAAACTTCATAATCCTACTATCCCTGACAGTTTAGTAAGATTTGACTTAATGAGGAGTTCAAAGCAGTGAAATCTGGAGTCTTGTGAGATACACTGCGCACAACTGAACTGCAAACAAAGCGTTCTAGCTTCAATGCGGCAAATACGTCTTTGCAAAGAAAACCTGACAGCTTCTGCATGAGTACGTCGCCATGCGACAAGGTGTCATCTTTCAACCAAAAGTTTTCGCGTGTCAGAAATCGAGTTTTGCGCCTCAGAAGCGCGCTTACAGCTCGGTAAGATGAGGCTCGTTTACCAAGATTAGCGACTACGCAATGTTGAGTTCAGCACTTTTCACCTCGTTTATTGCAAAGGACAGCGAATCCTAGGACCTCCATCCGAGTCAAACAAGTGCTTCAAAACTCAGTGAAAAAGCAGTTTTTTGCAAATAACGTGACTTATTATGCATTTTAGAGCAGAAAATGCAGTACGAATCTTCTTTTCGAAAGGCGAATCCTTCCAAGTGTAACAAATGTTTCATATTTTGATGTTGTATATGTACAAAAAATTTGAGGTTCAAAAAACGCAGTACTGATTGAAAATGAGAGGTGGCTTTATAGCTGTGACCAGCCTTCGGAACCCGTTTTTCAACTTTTTCAATTTTTCTCCCTCCAAAATCCATGAAATTGGGAGCCGTTCTGGTCAATGGTGTGACGTTAGTTTGCGCACAAAATAGTGGTTTTGCAGACAATTATGAGCAAGAGAGAGTAAATGACGGTGATTTTTAGGGTGGCTTTATAGCTATGGCCAGCACTGTATAACATATTCAGCCGGTTCTTCACATGACCAAAAAAGTAAAACATATTCGATATTGTAACACGATCTTGCTGCTGATTTGTGTTAGAATAAACAGAAACAATTTTGCTTGCACGTGGATTTCATTAGTGTGGTAAATTCGAACTACTTCCTTTCAGCAATTTTCTTCGCAGTTCACATTTCAGCATACAGAATCCTTGGTAGTACTCTTCCAGTTAGAAAAACGGGCATCGGTACGAGTGTTGGTAAGCGGAAGAGGTTGCTGTATAAGTTCTTTGCCATATATATCATCTTATATCGGGAAGAAGTCAGGGTTCCGGCTTCGTTCAATAGTGTGGTCAGTGGTGCGTTTACATAGGTCCCTTCAGCACTTCTCAAAACGTCTTCATTTGGCTGCTTCCAATATCTTGGCCTGCCTGTATTTCCGAAGATCTTACTGCAAGGCCGTTTACTGCATTGGCTACCAGTCTCTCAAGACAGTTGCACTCAGATTCTGCTTGGAAAAAATCTTCTTTTCTCGAGCACCTTGATGGTCTTCAGAATGCGTACCAATTTTTTCTCAAGTCGCTGAGGCACGCTCCACAGGCTCGACTATGACAAAATTTCGTGATACGTGATAAGGCGAGAGAGTTGCTTGTACCAAAGCAATAATTTGCAAGACGTGGTAGACGTCGGAACACAACTAGATTGAGCTTCCACTTTTTGTATTGCCCTTCTTCCTAGTTTGAGCTTCAGGTAGAGCAAGTCGATGTTAGGACACTGGGATGAGGTCGATCACTACAAAAAGACCAAGATCTTGTAATGGCCACTGCATTGCTTGATACTGATGAGAACAATCTAGTAATTGTTTTCGTGCTTCCCCCATCTCCCCTCCCCCCCCCCCCCCCACCACCTCAGACAATCGCTGGGGGCAGGCGGGCACCGGAAAAATAGATTGCTGATTTCTCGCACCCCGCTCGCGGATTTTTTGCAAAGCAATCAGGACTTTTCGGAAGACCGCTTGCTGAGTCAGCGGATTTTTGAGAGACCGCCTGTTGAATTTTTTTCGCTCTTATCTTTTGCAGATATATTGCTGAATCTCTGAGGAATCGAGAAGTCAGCAAGCGGTCTTCCGAAAAGTCCTGATTGCTTTCCAAATAATCCGCGAGCGGGGAGCGAGAGATCAGCAATCTATTTTTCCGGTGCCCGCCTGCCCCCGGCATTATCTGAGACTATGGTCCGCCTATGGTCCGCCTGAACACAACGTGGGGATGGCCCTGGGTGTCGAACTGCGATTTACAGCCATATATTCTGGTAAGCCCTCTCAATTTGAAGGAGTTCAACAATCCTCTTTTGGCAGGGTGGTTGGCAAAATTATGGGCTGCGGAACGAAAACGGCAACCGTCTTGTTGGACATCTCTCCGCCGCACGACTTCTCCATGGAAATTTCGATCGCCGCCTCCGTCGAGCGAAGGTACGATGTAATCGAAAGCTGGAAAAGAATGTCTGCCACAGTGCTGCAATATGGAAGGAAGCCGTTGATGAGGTATTAGACTGGAAGAGCTCTAAAAGTTGCAATTGGCCCATCGAAGAGGATCCAGTGTACACCATGACCGGCTTCTGGAAAAAAAATTTTATCCGGAAGACTTTTCTGAGAGCATATTGACTGCCGCTTCTTGATGGAAAAACCATCGATACGAATCCCAATTTCAGACTTTAGGATGAAAAATCAAGCAGCCCTTCTTTTTTACTTTCGAAGTTTGAAAAAGCAACCCTTGTTTTTCCTCTAAAAAGGAATGATGTCATGTCAAAACATCGTGAACATTGTTGAACGCCAAACAACATATCTTGTCGCTTAGTGATGTCGATAATGATGAGGACAGTAAGTATAGAGGGTGTCATTTGAAAAAAATGTGCTCAAAGAGTAATCCGCCGTACTTGGTTATGGTATGAGACGTAAAGACTTTTTATTATGATGATTGTCATTACGTGTCGTCTTTCGTGCACATAGTCAAAATGCGATCACTGCGAGTGTCTTGCAAGGGAAAAATATGGTATTGCACTGGCGGCTGAGATTGAAGCATATCATATCCGTATCCATCAATGAACTGGCTAATTCCCAAGTGCTCCTTTGGGTTCTTGAGCTTGTTATATTGGCATTGTGCACTCAGACGTTTTTTAAACCGTTCCCTAGTTTTTTGCGGTGCATGTGCATAACATGGATGCTTGTGTACGAAACTCAGTTATTCTCGAATTTGCCGTAGATAAGAAAAAAGCTTTTCGCAGAATTTCCACAACAGTAGTCGAAGACATGGTGGATCTTATATGGTACCCAAACTCACTGCAGAAGAATAGGTTTAAAGGCTTGAGTAAAACTTTTGTTTTCAATCAAAACTGACCTATATCAAAGCTACTCGATAAATTATCAATTACGTGCCATTTCGCTGAAGCTCTTCAGGATCGCCACAAAGATTCAGGTATCAAGCGCGATGTGTCGACTTACTTTAACATTGTTTCTGTCTCAGTCATCTACACTTTCTGATTATCTGATGAGGACCTAGCAGTAGCGTCCCCCATCCGAGGGGAAGGGAGATTGGGAAAAAAGGGTGTTACAAAATTTTTCTCGAATAAAGGCGTCAACCACCCACAAAGCCACGAAAAGTTTTCTAGAAATTGTTCTTTTGTTTAAGTCTAGGTCAATGCTAGCAATAAGGAACGGTGCGTGAAAATTTTAGCAGAGAGTTACCGATGATTGACTGTATATACACACTTTTGAGACTCACTGTATATCAAGTAAGAAACTTGTTCATGCTTTTCCAACTCGATGGCTAAACTACCCTTGGAACAATTTTTTGTGACCAATGTGGAAAACTTCTTCTTCAACGTAAACTCATACTCACAACTCACTCATCTTCCGAGGGGTCCACTCATCTGACCTGGTTCCTTTATCTTAGTTTTTCCTTACATAGCATATCGATCACAAGCTTTTCTACCATTGAGTTATAAAGGGAAGGGGACTTCCGATCAGCCGTTAGGAGAGTGAAAAATAGTTGAGCAGCACTGCTTAGTTGTGGGCGAAATCGTCCACCGACAAGAGCTTTCTGATCTCACAATGTCCATTCCACGCTGCTCTCTCAAGCTTTCAGAGTTGATCATGGCTATTGTAAAGAGACAATTTATCGTCATGGAGGCTGCCTATAGCATTTGTCTGCAGTTCTCTTAAGGATAGAATTTTAGCTGCTGCTTCTCGATTTATCGAATGTGAGAAAGATCTTGAGAAAAGCAGGTTTTTGCACAGGAGGAGCTCGTTTCTGTAAGGGAACAAATTGAAAAAGAATGGAAGAGAATAAATAATGACTTTTACATTGACTATAAAATTAGCAAATTTCTTCCATGAAAGCACTGACTTGATAATCGGCTGCCCCCCGCAAGTCACTGTAATAAGCCCGCAACTGCTTCTTTGATGTGAAGTAGTTT